GAGAGGTTCTTCACATGTGTTTCACCATATATGGATGTCTATAGATGAATACTGTGTAGCATTCATATATACACTGATGCTGTCACAAATGTTTTGATATTCTGTTTAAGGCGCTTTATTATTATTATTAATTTTATATAAGAGGGGGGAGGAGGCTTCCGTTGTTTCATGTAGGAAATATATATTGTGGGGCTGGGTATTTATCCAGTTGGTATAAGAGTTGTCTTGAGAAACCCCAGAGAGAAGGTGAGGTCCTGGGGGTCCTGGGGGCACCTGGGGGGTCCTGGAGAGCACCTGGGGGCTGGGAAGACAGCAGCAGGGTTCAGAGACTCTTCATTGTTATTTTACTTGGAGAGTTGCCAGCTTGGGGGTGGGTGTTGTGGAGGTGTGGGGGGGGTGGAGGCGTGGGGTGGGTGTTGTGGGGGTGTGGAGTCAGTTGACCTGCCTCCCCACACCCTCTACCCACGTTTTAACTTTTGCACACCATCTCTGAGCCTTCCCACGCCCCTCATTACCCATCTCACACCCCCATTCCACCCCTCCCACAGCGGACCTCACATACTCACCGCCACACGCCCCTCACACTCACCTGAATATAATAATGAGGTGCAACAAAAGGCGCCTTAGAGACCAGGTGTAAATATTCCCATAGTCATCTCTCCCTCTACACTGCTGCTTTGTGTGTACTCCGGCTCATGTGTGGGGGTGTAGGGTGTGGCGGGGCGGGGGTGTTGGGGTGGGGGATCGGTCTGTTGTTATGGTGTAGAAAGAGGAAGTGTGGTTATTTTTTTGGTTAAATTTTCTGTCTTTACCTTTTTTCTCTTTTCCACTTTCTTTCCCGTCTCCGCTATTCTTCCCCTGTCTCCTGTAACGCCCCTCCCCCCCCCCTCACAGGGTCGACAGTAAATGTCCACAATATGAGAATTCGCGTCCTCCGAGGCGGGCAAATGTTTCTTCACTTCTTTCAGAGCGTTGGAGACGAAGGTAAGAGAAGGCCCGAGAGTGTTTCCTGGGGTGAACTTCAGCTCCGGGGCCCCGCCTCTCTTGCTGGAGTGTCTCGCATAGCGACTCCAGGCACTCCTGTAGCTTATCGCATCTTGTGTTAAAACTCCTGAAGGAGATGCCTCGACCCAACAACTCCTTCCCTCATTAAGCTTCTTTGATCTATAGCTAATGATATATTTTCTTATGTAACTTCTGGGTATTCATACGGTGAACAATGAACAAATATGAACTGGATGTTCTAAGTGGACCAACTGCATATAACGGTCAACTGATAACTTAAGGAGAAGTGTGCATGACAACCATAACACTACCAACACAACCATAACACCACCAACACAACCATAACACCACCAACACAACCATAACACCACCAACACAACCATAACACCACCAACACAACCATAACACCAACACAACCATAACACAACCATAACACCACCAACACAACCATAACACCACCAACACAACCATAACACCACCAACACAACCATAACACCACCAACACAACCATAGCACCACCAACACAACCATAGCACCACCAACACAACCAAAACACAACCATAACACCACCAACACAACCATAACACCACCAACACAACCATAACACCACCAACACAACTATAACACCACCAACACAACCATAACACCACCAACACAACCATAACACCACCAACACAACCATAACACCACCAACACAACCATAACACCACCAACACAACTATAACACAACCATAACACCACCAACACAACCATAACACCACCAACACAACCATAACACCACCAACACAACCATAACACCACCAACACAACCATAGCACCACCAACACAACCATAGCACCACCAACACAACCAAAACACAACCATAACACCACCAACACAACCATAACACCACCAACACAACTATAACACCACCAACACAACCATAACACCACCAACACAACCATAACACCACCAACACAACCATAACACCACCAACACAACCATAACACCACCAACACAACCATAACACCACCAACACAACCATAACACCACCAACACAACCATAACACCACCAACACAACCATAACACCACCAACACAACCATAACACCACCAACACAACCATAACACCACCAACACAACCATAGCACCACCAACACAACCAAAACACAACCATAACACCACCAACACAACCAAAACACAACCATAACACCACCAACACAACCATAACACCACCAACACAACCATAACACCACCAACACAACCATAACACCACCAACACAACTATAACACCACCAACACAACCATAACACCACCAACACAACCATAACACCACCAACACAACCATAACACCACCAACACAACCATAGCACCACCAACACAACCAAAACACAACCATAACACCACCAACACAACCAAAACACAACCATAACACCACCAACACAACCATAGCACCACCAACAAATGACTTGACTCCCACCCTTGATAGGGTGGGAGACTCTCCCAAGTATGACACAACTTAGCTGGAGCGCAACACAATCGCCCAAGTTCAAGAAGGTCTCCACCATGTCATCACCTAACTTACTCGCCATAACTCCCCAAAATTAGCCGCCAAAGCGACCCATTAACCCTTTGAGTGAAAACTTATAGATGGGAAGTAATTAACCCACCTGAATACTGACTTAATTAACTCCCTTTGAATTACAACTTAATTAGTCCACTAAAAATAAATTGACATGTTGATGGTTGACTATATTAATGTTTTGGACAGTTTACCCTGATGAGTGTAGCACATGGTCCCTTGAGTGTAGCACATGGTCCCTTGAGTGTAGCACATGGTCCCTTGAGTGTAGCACATGGTCCCTTGAGTGTAGCACATGGTCCCTTGAGTGTAGCACATGAGCCCTTGAGTGTAGCACATGAGCCCTTGAGTGTAGCAAATGGTCCCTTGAGTGTAGCACATGAGCCCTTGAGTGTAGCAAATGGTCCCTTGAGTGTAGCAAATGGTCCCTTGAGTGTAGCAAATGGTCCCTTGAGTGTAGCAAATGGTCCCTTGAGTGTAGCACATTACACCCATGAGTTGGGATAACTGGTAAGACACAACTGTTTAATGGAGTACCTGAAGAACAGAAAACAAAGGGTCACGGTGAGAGAGGAGGTATCAAGCGAGAGTGAACTGCAGAAAATTACAGGAGTGGGCGCAGAAGTGCTGCTAGAGTTCAGTCCCACACAAGGTTGAAGTAATGAAGGCGGGAAAGAAGGAAAGAAGACCAGAAAACATGTTCAAGGTATAAGAAGAAAGGCCACATTAGTAATCGGAAAGAGAACAATGCTTTGGGAATGTATCTCATTCGAGCACGTAACACCAGAGGCTCACACAGACAGGGCAACATCGGCAGCATATGAGACGTTTGGAGTTCACAGAAAATCAATTAAAACCCAAAATAAGGACCGTTTCGAAGGCATTTTGCACCGCTTATGTTATGACGATCCTGGAGTCTGCTTGGAATACACCAAGATCTACTTTTATACTCTATATAAAACTCCGCATTCTGGAGAATACTTCAGAAATACCTTTATGCTTCACGGCTTGTGAGGCATAAAACAAAGTTGAAAAAGTGGAGAGTTCTGCAGCAAGTTTAATACCAGAACTTAAGAGGTTTAAACTACAAATTCATAATAATTCATTATGTCGGGGGACAGGAAGCCAGTTTATATATACAGTACATGTTAGGCTTATATTGAGGTTCCTCCAACCCCCCCCCCCCAGGGTCAAACTACTGACCCTCCCCAGGATATAACCCCACAACAACCTGACTAACTCCTAGGAACCTTTAAACTGACTGGCGAACAGAGTCATTAGGTAATAGGAAAAGCGCCCAACCATTTCTGTCCAACCCGGGAATCGAACTCTGAATTCTCGATTGTGAGTCGAGAACAAACCCTTCTGTACTACCGAGATCCCAACAAGTATAGGTTAAGAAGGGAACTAAATCTCCCATACAAAATACTGAGGGAAATAAGAGTGTGGAAAGGGAAAGGCTCTTTAAATTGAGAGAAAGTAAGAGAAACTGACAGAAGCTGGAAACGCAAATGAGTCGAAGAGATGTAAGGAAATACTCGTAGCCTGTACGGGTACGAGTAGAATCAGTGGAAGACACTGCAAGAAGTTGTGGAAGCCACCTCCATCCACAACTTTAAGACCAGATTCGAGAGAGAATTTGAAGGTCAGAATAGCTAAAGTATAAAGCAACAGGTACAAGATGGCTAGCAGGCAGGGCATAAGGAGCTAGTAGACCTCACTGCTTCTTAGACACTCGGGAAAACACCACAACAGTGAAATATGTCACTAACGTGCTGAGCCTTACAGTGTTGCAAGAGTTATACATGTACTCCTTGGTGAATATTTTGGTGGGACGAGACTCGCCCTCATCAGCTTGTAAACAAACTTACAGGGAATTAAAATTCGTTTCTCTTTACAGTCACCCAGAAGCTAATATCATCCTTCTGTACACAGTTAATAGAGGTAATATTGGTTGTCTTCTTGGAAGAGTTTATTGTGGATAAAGACAAATTTTTCTTTCTCCCGAACTGACCTCTGGATCTCACTGATGGTTAGATATCTACACGGGAACACACAGTGTATGAAACATGTTATCTTCTTGTACTGCTACAGTATCAATAGCATTATTACAAGGGTAAGATTACCTCATTGTCTTACAGTCGCCTTAAACTGTGTCTTTGACAGTTTACCCGAGGGCCACTATCTCAAGTGACCTCGACGGGGGACAGGAAGCCAGCGGCTAGTCAAAGGTGTCCACATTATTATCGTGTCTCTGTGACCTTTGTTTGTGTGATGAGGCGAACTAGCATGTCCTCCCCCTCCTCCCAACAAGACAGACACCGTCGACAGTGACCTGCAGTACCTTATACTCTACTCCCACCACAACACACGAGGGGGGTAATAAAACCACACATCACTGCAATATATCTTTAACTAATCACAGTTTAATTTTGTCACCACTGTATCATCCCTTGAAGCCCGGCCGAGCCCACCATCAAGCCTTGAGGGCCGGCCAAGCCCACCATCAAGCCTTGAGGGCCGGCCGAGCCCACCATCAAGCCTTGAGGGCCGGCCGAGCCCACCATCAAGCCTTGAGGGCCGGCCGAGCCCACCATCAAGCCTTGAGGGCCGGCCAAGCCCACCATCAAGCCTTGAGGGCCGGCCAAGCCCACCATCAAGCCTTGAGGGCCGGCCGAACCCACCATCAAGCCTTGAGGGCCGGCCAAGCCCACCATCAAGCCTTGAGGGCCGGTCGAGCCCACCATCAAGCCTTGAGGGCCGGCCGAGCCCACCATCAAGCCTTGAGGGCCGGCCGAACCCACCATCAAGCCTTGAGGGCCGGCCGAACCCACCATCAAGCCTTGAGGGCCGGCCGAGCCCACCATCAAGCCTTGAGGGCCGGCCGAGCCCACCATCAAGCCTTGAGGGCCGGCCGAACCCACCATCAAGCCTTGAGGGCCGGCCGAGCCCACCATCAAGCCTTGAGGGCCGGTCGAGCCCACCATCAAGCCTTGAGGGCCGGCCAAGCCCACCATCAAGCCTTGAGGGACGGCCGAGCCCACCATCAAGCCTTGAGGGCCGGCCGAACCCACCATCAAGCCTTGAGGGCCGGCCGAGCCCACCATCAAGCCTTGAGGGCCGGTCGAGCCCACCATCAAGCCTTGAGGGCCGGCCAAGCCCACCATCAAGCCTTGAGGGCCGGCCGAGCCCACCATCAAGCCTTGAGGGCCGGCCGAACCCACCATCAAGCCTTGAGGGCCGGCCGAACCCACCATCAAGCCTTGAGGGCCGGCCGAGCCCACCATCAAGCCTTGAGGGCCGGCCAAGCCCACCATCAAGCCTTGAGGGCCGGCCAAGCCCACCATCAAGCCTTGAGGGCCGGCCAAGCCCACCATCAAGCCTTGAGGGCCGGCCAAGCCCACCATCAAGCCTTGAGGGCCGGCCGAGCCCACCATCAAGCCTTGAGGGCCGGCCGAGCCCACCATCAAGCCTTGAGGGCCGGCCAAGCCCACCATCAAGCCTTGAGGGCCGGCCGAGCCCACCATCAAGCCTTGAGGGCCGGCCGAGCCCACCATCAAGCCTTGAGGGCCGGCCGAGCCCACCATCAAGCCTTGAGGGCTAATCGTGCCCACCTTCACCGCCAAGCACCGGAAACATCTTTCAGGAGCTAAGTCGTAAGAGCTGACAAACAGTAACAAGTGAGTGCAAAAATGGTCATCTCACGCTGACCCCAGGCGTAGTATATGGGGTCAATCTCCCGCCATATGCTGACCCCAGGCGTCGGGGTCCGCGAGCGACTCGCAGGGCCTGGCACAGTATGAGAGTCTAGGTCGGGGAGAAGCTTCACTCTAATGCTGATAAAGCTCTCGTGTCAAGTAAGCCGAGATCCAACTATTACCATTTATAAACATGAAGCTGTAACACGATATCTGAAGCTTAAATTGCCGACTTTAACGGAAACTCCATTACTGTTGTGTACGGGGGTCAGACCAGGAGTGGGTGGGCGGGGTCTTTTAAAGTGGAGTGGAAGAGTCATGCTCCGAGGAAAGGGAAAGGAGGGGGTTGTTAAGGGGGCATGGGGCGGGTCACGTAAAACTCCCCCAAAACAATAATCATCTGACCATCATTTTATTAAGACACCCAACCCACTCATCTGAAAATACAGCTACGGTTCATACCGTTATGGACCATTATAAAGTCGTATTGAGAACGAGTGGCAGAAAAAGGCAAGAATGTGAGTGGAAGGTCTGCGAGAAGGAACGACATAAACTACAGCTGTAATAGGAATTAAAAACATTGCAGATATACAGTGCAAGGCCCCCACGTCTACCCACAGAAGCAAAACAACATGTAAAGGTTTTGGGAATAATAATGTAAGCGAGACTGAATTTAAGCGAGCATAACAAAGCCAGCAGAGCGGCGGCCTGGGTCATGAGTGGATGGAATATGAGAACCTTCACATCCTGGGATTCCACCACAATGCTCCTGCTTTTCGAATCTCTTGTGCTTCACTCCCTTGACTACTGTCCGCTGTTCGCTATCACTTCTCCCTTCAAAACAGCAGAGAATTATCAGATCAAAAGGATACAGATCATATATAGCACGCATAGACACGGTAAAGCACCTAAATTATTGGGACTTTCAGAAACCTCTAAAAATGTGCTTTCTAGAAAGGATACGAGAGAGGTATCACATAATATACACGTGGAAGATACTGGGGGGCCAGGTCTCAAATTTACACAGCAAAATAACAGCTTAATGGAGCGAACGATATGGTAGGAAACGCAGAATAGAGCCAGTGAAGAATAGAGGTGCCATAGGCTGTTGCTGTTTGAGATTCAGTTACTCAGAACAAAAAGTTGCAAGTAGCAGGGGCTATGGTGAGCCCGTAGTGAGCTGTAACTGGGTGAGAACACTGAACATCAGGGGTCCACGGCTAAACAATAACCTGATAGCAAGCATGAGAACCATTGCCGGAACAAAGGTACAGGTGTTCAGGAAAATATTATACATGTCCCCTGCAAGAGGTACCGGACCAATCGAACAGTAGTGGATAAGTGGGCCTGCGGGGCACTCCAAGCAACAGCCTGTTGGACCAAGTTATCATAAGTCAAGCCTGGCCCCAGGCCAGACTTGAGGAGTAGAAGAACTCCCAAGGACCCACTCCAGGTATATTGCTTTTCTTCTCAGATATGTGGGTTGAGTGTCTAATTTTGTGCCGTGTTATTCTGACGTATTGTTTACCTCATTTTATTATAAATCCTTAGTGTTTACATCCTTTTATAATCAAGAGCACATATTACGGCTAACTTATTTCAAATCTGATTTACCTTCATTAATAGTCATGAAAACTGTGACATTAAAATCATCATAGTGTGAGGCTGTCTTAGGGAAGCGCTGGGACCAGCCTTGGTGGCCGTCTGCCATGACGGCTGTAACATCCCAGCGAATTAAGATGACACTGACTTTCAGATATTAGGCGATGTGCTCCTGCCCAACTGTAACAAAACTTCCATCGAAAAGTAATGTACCATTCTCCTTTAAAACTAAAGGTAAAGGGCGTGGGGCGGTGAAGGTGGATGCAGCAAGGTGGGCTGGCAGGCTGTGTGTGTGATCTGAGCAATATATATACATAGTAGGTAGTCCGGGGGAACCGTGATGTCCTCTCCGCTCTCTCAGGTACTGGGAGCAAATTGTTGCTCAGATAAGTATAGTGACTGTATAGTGAGTTGTTCAGAATGACTTTAGGTGACGTCGGGTACCTGCAGGTACGGACAGGTACCTTCAGTGACCAGGGGAGGGTCAGGGAGTCAGGTCCGGCTGACTACCTGAAGCAAACAATAACAAAATGGTCTGAAAACATGGTGCGCTGGTAAGGTCTTGTGAACCAAACAAGCAGCACAAATCTCTAGGGCTAGAGCATCTCCAGCCCAGCCTCCTCCTGTTGTGGTAGTACTTATAGTAACGGTGAGGACCATAGTATATATACCCACCTACAACCAAATTTGAACGTAGAAATCGGCACTATTGAGTTGGACAAACCGGGAAAACTATTTTTTACTTGTTTTTCTTTGACAAAATAAACTAACCTCACTAGGCCTAATACACGATATCTGAGGCCTAATATAGTACATATGTGTGCTATACTAGGCCTAGGAATATTTAAATTTGTGTTTTAGCTTCATTTATTTGAAAAGAATTCCTTACAAGTCAGAATACTACTATCTATAAGCTAAGAACTTACGAATTCTGACTACTGACGAGTGTCACAATAAGTACTATCTAAAGAGGAGGATGGGTTGGCATCTCTCACACAAAGACTGTAAGGAACTTCTCCCTACTAGCGAGACGAGAGTGTGGTCGGCGGGGGTCTGACACAAGTGTGGCGGGCACCAGAGCAAGGTCGTGGTCTCGCTGAGGTAGACGCCGTTACCAAAGGCCTTGTAACTCTCCCTGCTACTGTGGGGAGTCTCACCGGGTCTCCACATACCATCCTCTTACAAAAGTCTCTTCGTGAACATCATTGCTTGTAGTATTCTCGCAGCGAAATGCTTCGCTTACTCTACAAGTTTGAATGCCTTGTTTTGAAGTTTTTTCTTATTTACAAATCAGTAATTTGGTAACTGTTTATATCCATACTGATTTTTTGAGTTAATTTATCTTAATATAATTATCAATTGTAAACTTCTCGGTAATCAAAATCACTTTTGAAAGTTCATATCGTAATTCACACTACAAAGATGTGAACATTTTTACCGAGAGTTGATCATAATGTTAAGAAACTAACCACTAACATTTTTACCGCCTAAGCTCCCGTGTTTATAACGGGTCGAGGCAACATAAAATATATACACGTATCCACTGCACACGCCCCGGGCTGGCACACCTGCCTTTGGTGGCACAGACTGAACAACACAAGCTTACCCCCACACACCTGACCAGTGCTCCCTCAGGGGTCACCAGCACAGCTCCCCCAGGGGTCACCAGCACAGCTCCCGTGGTCATGACCAGTGCCCGTGACCATGGGAGGATTACTGCCATGTGACCAAGATTGGATCACTGTCATAGCATCACTGTGGTGAGCATTATACGTTAAGCTGTCCAGGAGAGCTGGCGTCACAATGACCTGTAAACCACAGGCTTCCCAGTCTTAAACAAGTGCTTAAATGTAAACTGTAGACCAGAGAATTACCATTCTTTGTCGCCTTTACACACACTAATTACATTCAAGCACACACACACACACACACACACACACACACACACACACACACACACACACACACACACACACACACACACACACACACTTCTCCGGGACAACTCCATGTGTAAAGATACAGATACGAGTTAATAGGGCCAGATTCACGAAGCAGTTACCCAAGCACTTACGAACCTGTACATCTTTTCTCAATCTTTGGCGGCTTTATTCACAATTATTAAACAGTTAACGAGCTCCGAAACACCAGGAGGCTGTTTATAACAATAACAACAGTTGATTGGCAAGTTTTCATGTTTGTAAACTGTTTAATAAATGTAAACAAAGCCGTCAAAGATTGAGGAAAGATGTACACGTTCGTAAGTGCTTGCGTAAGCGCTTCGTGAATCTGGCCTTAGGACCGTATCAGGATCCCTGACCTCAGACATACTCAAGAGACCCCACAAGCGGACTATTACACCACATAAACTATACACCTTTCTCCTATTATAAAAACCAACGTCTCCAACACAGAAAACGGTGATTAAATGTGGCCACACTTACGGGCAGGCGTGTCACTCAGGCGACACACAACACTAAACGCTCAACATCTCTCACCAGTGCCAGATCTTCTCTTCTTCCAGGCTAAGGGACTTCACACACACACACATATATATATATATATATATATATATATATATATATATATATGTCGTACCTAGTAGCCAGAACGCACTTCTCAGCCTACTATACAAGGCCATATTTGCCTAATAAGCCAAGTTTTCATGAATTAATGTTTTTTCGACTACCTAACCTACCTAACCTAACTTTTTCGGCTACCTAACCTAACCTAACGTATAAAGATAGGTTAGGTTAGGTTAGGTAGGGTTGGTTAGGTTCGGTCATATATCTACGTTAATTTTAACTCCAATTAAAAAAAATTGACCTCATACATAATGAAATGGGTAGCTTTATCATTTCATAAGAAAAAAAATTGAGAAAATATATTAATTCAGTAAAACTTGGCTTATTAGGCAAATCGGGCCTTGCATTGTAAGCTGAGAAGTGCGTTCTGGCTACTAGGTACGACATTATATATATATATATATATATATATATATATATATATATATATATATATATTTTAAGATGAATAGGAAAACCAGGGATATACTGAACATCTTGTATCAGAATCTTGACTTTAAAAAACATAACGTTTCGAATACTTCTCGTATTCATCATCAGATCTAAAAGAAAAAACTGAAATCACAATCAAATAGCTGGTAAACAAAGAACTCATACTGAATATAATTGCCTATCAAAGAAAGGAAAATGCTTAAAAAGCAAAACACTTAAGCGCACTTAAAAGTGATCAATACAAATAAAACTTATTAACTGTCACAGATA